TTTTTTTGCTTGGGGCGGCAGAAATGCTGGAGCCGGCCCTGGTCCTGAGTCCCTTCCCCATCCATTGATTTCGATGAGAGTTGAGGATGCTGAGCATTTTTCAAGACGCGCTCAGTGACATGCAGACTTGGGGCCCTAAAAGATTATTAGTTAGAGAGATCATTAGCCATGCAATCAGTGTAAATTTCCTCTGCATTCGTTTCTCAGTTCCCTACCCTAATGCTCTCGTAGGTTGCAGCGGCTCTTTCTGGATCATTATCGTGAAGTTTAAAAGCAAATCCAGTTTCCACCAGTCCTGGAGATATACACTGGAAAAGAACAGAGAACATCCTAATGGGATCTGAAACTCCCCTTTCATTAAAAAAAAAAAAAAAAAAAAAAAAAAAACAAATATGTTAAGAGAATAGAGATTGATTTAATGATCTCTGTAGGGTATTACCATGGGTACCTCTGATAGATATCCCCTACTCTACAAAGAGAAGGTTCAGCACAGCAAATAACAAAATAACTTGCAATACAGTATAACTGCTGAATAAAATACCTCTGAGAGCCAAGCTTACTAAACAGTTCGAGCAAAGCTACTATCTGACTGGTATTATCCATTTTTAATATATTTTTCCTCCTTCCTCAGTAAGTTACTGCAGCTCAAAAAAGGCTATTCTCCCAACAGAATCCCTATCTCCTGTCTCTCGGTCTGGTTCCCCAACCCTTTCCCAGAAGGGAAACTGAGGCACGGGAGGGCTAAGTGACTCGCCTGAGGCCATTCAGTGAGTCAGGGACAAAGTCAGCAGTAGAACCCAGGTCTCATGACTCCCGTTGCGAGTTCTTGTCCATTCACATTTCTATACTCACGTCTCTATGAGGATCTCAAAGCACTTTACTAACATGAATTAAGCCTCCTCAAACCCTGGTGAGGTAGATAAGAGTTATTTTACAGATGAGGGACCTGTGGCATAGAGAGTTTAAATTTCTACAACCATCCTTAATTCTGGTTGCCTCAACTTTTGGGTGTTTAACTTGGACAAATTAGGTGCTGATTTTCAGTGGTATACTGAAAACTGTGTTAAAACTGTACGCTGTCACTTTAAATTCCAGGGATTTTCCCTGGTCCTTCTTGCAGGTTAGGGAGGTTGGTAGGGGAGCATGTGATACGAGTCTAACAGCAGTCAGTCAGCAGACAGTTTAGAGTAAGGTTGGGTGAGTTGTGCCGCTCTGTTTTAGGGAGCAGTCTGCTTTCTCACTCTCTGTTTATTTGCGGCTCTTATGTGTTATCATTCTGAATTCTCAGAAATAAAGCAGTGTTACATGGCAACCTGGTGGTAACAGTTTTTATGTTTTTATCTAACTTCTCTGTGTGTGCGCCGTGAAACGTGTTTGAGTAGTAGGTGCTCCACACCCCTTGAAAATAAGGCCTGCGATATTTCAAGTTTGGGTGCCCAGAAGCTGAGGCACACAGCAAGTCAGAGGCAGAGCTAGGAACAGGCCCTCTGGTTTAGAAGTGCTACCCTCGCCCTCCAAAACACGCCTCAAAGGTAAAACTTCCTACGCACATCCTGAGCGAGCATTCTACTGTTCATTATAACAGCAGGGAGAAAAACCACTCACTGTAGCTCGTATATGAGTCTTGGCTTCTCTAAGTTCTTGTCTTAGCCCCTCCGTCAGTGCTGTAACAGCATACTTGGTGGCACTGTAAAAATGAACATCTGACTGTGGCACGACACTGTGGCCATTCATGCTGAGAAGAAAACAGAAAGAAAAGGGGTGATGGGAGGAGAGCAGGGAGCAGCATGAGACGTCCCAAACAGGAACCAGTACCATACTAAAAAAATTGAAGTATTGCTGCCGTAGTGAACTCAAAGAGAGGGGGGGAAAACAACATAGCTATTCTACATGGATGAGTAAATATGGAATTTCCCCCTTTCCCGCTGTAAGCTAGGAAATGAGCTAATGGGCTTTGAATAGTGGAGGAGCATATTAAGCTATAGAATGAAATGGGGAGAATCATGCACCGTGAGATTTTTTTTTTTCTTTTTACATAATTGATTTCTAGAGCTAGTTGAAAAGTTTGGATTTATTTTTATTTTTTTGAGGGGGTGGGGGCAACATTTTTATGACAATCTTTCCTGCTTTTGACAGTTTATAGAGGGGTCAAAATGTTTTAAAAATTGAAATTTTCAATGAAAAAGGTTCAAAGTTTTTAACTGGCTCTACTGACGTTCCCCAAAACAAATCAAAAAGAAAAAGTTCAGACCCATCCCAAAGACTGAGCTCCTAGGGCTTCAATAATGGGATGACACTAAGGCTCTGTCTATACTGGGAGTGTTAACCAGAGGTAGCCAGTCAGTGGTGTAGCCACACCATAGAGTCAACAAGAAAAAAAAGCTAAAAGCAGTGATTTGTACTGGTGCTATATGGATGGATAGACACCAACGGTTGTAACCAGCAAAAATCTCCAGTAGGAAAAGCCTGAGTTTATTAGAAGGTGAGAGGAATGTTTGTCATTGTAGGTACAAACAGAATAGGACAACATACAGGGCCCAACATCAGTTGAAGTCAATATTAGTACCAGACATGGGATTGTATCATCCCAGTGCAGAGAGCCAATAAAAGGCCTTTTGCAACACGTAAACCGTACATTGCGGCTGTGAATGGAGACCCCCTTCCCAGGCGGCTTCTCCATACTACCCCTACATTTGCCAGCGAAGAGTCTGGGCCAGGGAAGAGACCAGAGGATCCGTGTGTTTATGCAGATTCCTAAGTGGCTCAGCTGTTCTCTCTGCCTGTACCTTGGTCCCGGGCTGGAGGGGAGAATTTCACCTTCCCAACCCAACACTTCACCCACACACAGCTCCATTATTCAGGCTTTACATGAATGAATGTTGTCTATGAAGCACTACCAGGGTGGGTGCCTGGGAGAGAAGAGGGCTCATTGATAGCCTGTGTCCCGATACTGTGTGTACAGCGGCACAAGCAGCAGCCTTATCTGGAAAAGGAGAAGCTATGAAGTGCTACAGTACAGGCCCATTACATAGGGCATGAAACAATATGGGACTAGTCAGTAACATATACTGGCAACCTGGTGCATGAATCTTTGGTATCAAAAAAAGGCCAAAAAACATACACGCACAGAAAAACTCCCAGTTGGATACAGACGGACTTCCAGCGACAAGCAGCAGTGGAGACAGGGAGACAGTTGCTTCGCACTGCAAAGCAACAAAAGAAAACAAAGAAAAGCCAACCCACAGCAAATTAGGCCTATTTTCAGTGACTACCACAATCCGGTCTCTCACCTGTTAATGTTAATAATATGGCCATCATCAATGTTTCTCTCCTTCATAGACCGATAGACCTCCCGAGTGCAGATACTTACGGCCATAACATTGACCTGAAACAGAAGGAAAAAAATGAAGATTAAAGCCCATTGTAGTGACCATGGATTTCATGCTCATCCTTGCATGCTTGGGATAAACTCTGCCTTGACTTACAACCCATGTAACCACACTGCAGCCAAAGGAATGGGTTTTGCTTAAATATACTAGCATGCACTTTAGAACAGGTCATGGAGGAAAATGTGGCTGGAACCAGCATTGGTGACTAACAAAGAATCCACAGCCACCTGGGGCTTCACAGTTGTCACTACAATGCAACCACTACCATTCAGAACTTAACAGGATAGAAGTCTGATCCTCCAGCTTCAAAGCACAGGTTCTTACAACTTGAGATAAAAAAAAGACCCTCCATTAACTGTCACCAGTATAGGTCCTAAGATAAATGCTCAGGCAGTTCTGATTCCATCCTGTAGAGTGCAGTAGTGACATATACACCCTAGCCAGTTCGTTACAGTATCTATAGGACTTGTAAAGTTTGATACCATAACAACAACAACATTCATTTTAAGGGGGTGAAATTCTCTAGGCTTTGTCTCAGCCAGTATGAATTTTATTTAATTGGTTCGAAACAAAGTGAGAGGAAAGTCGTGTTTGGTTGGTTTTGTGTTACGGGAAAGTGAAAACTATGTTTTCTCATTGTAAGTTCTTTGAGGCAGGGACTGACTTTTTATTCTGTGTTTGTACAACACCTAGAACAGTGGGGTCCTGGTTCATGACTGGCGCTCCTCAGAGCTACCTCAATAAAAATAAATAAATTCAATAATAAATAATAATAATAATAATATTTTTTTTTAAATTTACTACACATTGCTGAGCATATAAACACTACCTGGGCATTTAGCCAGCACAATGCCATCACCCTGGGAACTTGAGGCTAAAATCCCCATATACCAGGTTAAAAATTTACCTTGGTTATGTGGGAGGTCTCTAGAGGTCTCACCAAAGTTGCCCTGTATTCCAGGGCTGGAGTAAAGCCCAGAATAGGCAGGGTATTTCAAATCTATTTTGATTTCACAGTTAGCAAGGTCAAGGAAAGTGTGAATGGATTGTTTCAGTCAAAATCTTAAATAAACAAACAACCAAAACCAACCTTTGAGATATAGATCTTGGCTTTTAAAAGCCTCCATGAACACCAGTGCTGCTCTCTGTGAAGCCGTAAAGTCGTGAGTATAATGGCCTCAGATTCTCAGCTGATGTAAATCAGCATTATTCCACTGAAGTCAATGGAGCTGTGCCAGCTTACACTAACTGGGGATCTGGGAGCTTGCCTCTCTATTAGGCTATTTGAAGGAGCAAGGACGGAGGGGCATTTCTGCAATGTTTAATGTAGAAAGCTAAAATCATCATGATCTTGCAACACAGAGCGCTTTACAACATGCAGTTACATTTGGGGAGGATGCCAAAAAGTAAATGTTTTACCATCAGGAAAAAAAAAAAAAAAAAAAGCCACCCACCACACTATGAATCTTATTAACTGCGGTACTTTAGTGACAAGTGTAGGGAAATGGATACGTAGCATCAAAGAGCCTCCACGACTCAGCTGGACAAAGGTGAAGCAGCAGCTGCCAGGATTCGTTTTGCTCGTCCTGAGGCTCACAATCATCTCAAGTAGTTGAAGCCTCTCCAGGAGAATACGTTAGATCTACTGGCAATATCTGCCAGTGTCATAGAGCTACTGGTTTCACTGGCCTCTGTAAAAATGTGCCTCACACAGTACTGTATTGTCACTTTGCGTACACACACAGCAGAGGTATAGTTAAACAAACTGCAAAAAGCATCCCCGGTCAATGAAGAACTGTCAAAAGACCCAGAGAGCCAGGACTTTTCACCCACCCCCGCACCACGCAAGGAGTTACTGAATGTGATGGTATGTGCACTGGAATCTTTTGCCTCTGGGCTGGAATGTAGCCCACGTGGAGTGGACGGAAGGTTCTGCTTGAATTCATGGCTGTAAAGGTCAGTGGGTAAAGCGTGAAGGAGTTGTTCAAAGATTACTGTGTAAAATAAGGTGTGTACGCAGCACGGGGCTCCAGATTCTCCTGAGCAGAATGTAGAAGGCTGAGCAGACTTCAGTCTGGGTCTCATTTACAGCACAATATTATAAACAAGCTGAGAGAATAAAGGGGAGAACGGAAACCTCATAAACCGGAGGAAAGGAGATGGGAGATTTTTAAGAGCAGGTTAGACACACACTTATCAGGGATGGTCTAGATAACACTTAGTCCTGCCTTGAGTGCAGGGGACTGTACTAGACAACCTCTCGAGGTCCTTTCCAGTCCTACAATTCTACGAAAAGAGGGGGAAGGATGGTCCTGTGATTAAAGCACCATATGGCAGACACTCAAAGGTATCTAGGTTCCTATTTCAATGAGAGTTAGGCACCTAAATACCTTTGAGAAATTGGGCCTGAGTCTTTGGGCTGGTGTGGACAGGCATGACAGATGGGACTACAGTCCTGCCTCCTAACCCTTTCCCTTTGGAGGAGCTTAGCCCTGAGCGTCCTCTGTACAGCCAAGGCTGTAACTATGACCAGCCTCTGCATTGAGGATGCAGGCTCTTTGCATCCTCCCCCACTTGGGCACCCTTGCAGGGGCCAGCCATAAATCACTCCATTAAAGTTTCAAGGCCTACTAGACATTGCACAAGGCGGTGGCTCTTGCTGAGTTTGAAAGCCTGGATCTCTGATTTGGTGTTAAACGTTAACCTTTGGTTATCTGTCTTCTGGGCATAAACCTGGCTGCTGGAATCCTCTCTGTGCCAGGAGATGCAGGGATTGTTTTCGAGGTATGGGGGAGGGAGGGGCGCGCTCCTATTCCAAAGCCACTACCTTGTGATAATGGAGAGCCGTCCCATGACTCATTGGGCGTTGAGACTTGGGGTGAGATTTTCAAAACCCCACTGGGTTTTATATTCCTAAATCATATAAGTGCTTTTAACCCCGCCCCCCCAGTTCACACCCCAGCCAGGAGCTGCATTGTACACGTGGAGATGAGCCATGCTGAGGAAGCAAACATTGTTTTCATTCTGCCTATGATTTTATGAGCTAGATCTTTAGCTGCTGTAAAATCGGCATAGCTCCATCAAAGGGAATAGAGCAATGCTGATTAACACCAGCTGAGGACCTGCTCCCACACTTGTAAAACCTTTCCTATTTCTGATCAGAGGGATTGTTGCCTTTGATCCACCTTGCCCGGGATCTGACATTTCTCATTTCTGACCTTTTCAATTTGTCCGCCACTTTGTGTGGATCTACCTGGAGAGATTCAAAGAAACTAAACTCAATAAAGAGATATTGGAAAAAGGGGTAATTTGCTGCAAGTCCCGAAATAGAATCAGCTGAGCAATATGCTACCAATATACCTCTCCTCGTAAGCAGATCTCAGCAATGGATTGGCAAGAGGCCATTTTTCTGCCCATCCAACTGGAGACAAAGTACCATAATAGGAAACAGAATCAGGGGGAAATTAAGACAAAACCATGGTGTAATTCAAGCCAAATTTGAGGTCCTTCTCAAGACATGTTCCTGCCAATGTCAATGGAAGTGAACCCGACCGAGGATGGATAAAAATCTCAGGGCTTGTTTCCCAGTTGCTCCATTCTTGCACTTGGGGCAAGGGCACAAGAGTGGCTTTAAACCACCTTTGCACTCCCCATATCCTGGGGCCCTACAGGAGCCTGGCTAGCCCTTGCCTTGAGACGGCTCGAACGTAGCTTTCTATGAGCCCCAGGACGCAGAGAATAGGTGTAATGAAGTATGCATCAGTGATGCCTCTGACGTCCCCCTATGCCAGGGGTTGGAGCCAGGGGCCCTGGTGCTCTCTCCACACTATTCAAATGAGGTCCTCTGTACAAGGGGCATTTCACGGATATTTTGGGGCTAGGGGATATTTCCACCCATTTTAAGGCCCCTTTATGCTGCCAGAGTGGCATAAAATTCACACTCATACACTGTGTATTTGTTAAGTGCCAACTGCTTGCTCAGTGCTGTAGAGGACACAAAGAGGATGTGGTCCATGCCCTGAGAAGCCTGCACTGGGGGGAGGAGGGAGGGAGGAATACACAACAGACAACAGTTCAGGTGACAAGGATCTGGAATCCCACAGCAGCGCAGTAGGGGCTGTAATAAATAAACAATAGCACTTCTCTGGCTGGTGGAGCTTCAGGAAGAGGTTTCAAGGAAGAAACATGGGAAGAGGGATTGGTAAAAGTCAAAGTCAGTCTCAAAAGCTCATAAATGATGTAAGGAAAGAAGAAACAGTTTAAAAACCCTTCCATTAAATTTAAGGCCCTAAATGTCTCCTAATGAAGGGATCTAGGGTTATTTGGAGATTTTTTCCCCCCTCTCCTTCAGCACAGCTGGACTTTGAAATGCTTCTGTAACACCCTTCAAAATAAAAGCATTCGCTAATGCTTTTCTTCCTGCAGAATATTTGAAGAAATTCTCTCCGTACTATTCTGAGCACTGCGAAGACCCAATGGCCCATGAAAGGAGCGGGCAGCCTCTGTTTCAAGAAACTCTTGAAAAGTTTCAGAAAGCGCATCAGAAACAGACCAACGTATGTTGATTAGAGGCACACATGTGGCACTCAGTAAGTGTATCCCTCTGATGCATATGTAGTTAGAGAGAGACAGCAAAAGCCCCACTGCCAGACCGAAAGCTATATGCAGCTACAGTGTGTTCAGAGAGTGAGACTTCCAGGCGGTGAGAGCATAGCTGTGAAAAGGGGACTATTCAGAGAGGAAGCAAAACCCAGAGCTATTTTTAATAGCACTTTCAATGTTTACTAGCAGGTTAAAAATCATGAGCCAGATTCAGTAAAGCTGCTCAGATCAAGATGGCTCATGGTACACAGGGGCCTGTGATTTCCATGGACTTCCCCTCCAGATTAAAAGTGCCACTGAAGTTGGGTTCATTAGACACACGTTAGGTTCAGCTCTCAGCTTCTGGCAAGCTGTCAATAAAACCTCATTTGGATAATATTTGGACATCCCGGTTTAACACAGGTGACGTAACATCACCCTGACAATTAATGCCACAGCTACATCAGAGCAGACACACACAGGTATGTTGTCCATACACAATGAGCAGAACATGCACTTCCAGTATGGAGGACTCTCTGTGTCATTTCCCATAACTTAAAATTAGAAAAAATAAAAATAAAGTTTCCAGAAGAGGGAGAGAGAATAGAAAGTCTCTCTCATGCTGTAAGATCCCAAATCACCTCACAACCCTGCTTCCATTGCAGACGGCCTTCCGACGTTTAAAGGCACAGTGCAGTACAGAAAACAGAACCATAAATCCATGCACTTATCATTAATATTACAGTAGCATCTCCAACTAAGATTGTGGTCCCATTATGCTAGGTACTGTATGTACATCTCGTAGGAGACTGTTTTTGTAAATAATGTGATTGAATTTCACAATTTCCTAGTACGGCACATGAAATCGGCTCTGTGGTATCCAGCTCTAACCAGATTTTGAACAGAAAATAAAGTAATAAAGACCAGGAAAAAAAAGGAATGCTATAGTTTATTAGGTTTCAGAGTAGCAGCCGTGTTAGTCTGTATCCACAAAAAGAACAGGAGTACTTGTGGCACCTTAGAGACTAACAAATTTATTTGAGCATAAGCTTCCATGGGCTACAGCCCACTTCTTCGGATGTATAGAATGGAACATATATTGAGGAGATATATATACACATACAGAGAGCATGAAAAGGTGGGAGTTGTCTTACCAACTCTGAGAGGCCAATTAAGTAAGAGGAAAAAAAACTTTTGAAGTGATAATCAAGATAGCCCAGTACAGACAGTTTGATAAGAAGTGTGAGAGTACTTACATGGGGAGATAGATTCAACGTTTGTAATGTAGTTCAATGTAGTTTATTAGGCTGATATGAATCAACCCATTTTACCACCTACCGCTGCAACAAACTGTGAAACTAACGGGATTCGCTACGAAAGCTGGCACCTGGCATTTAGTTTCCAATTTTAGTTTAAAAATTAGGATCTTCACTTTAAAAAAAAATCAATAGATTGAAGGAAAATAATACTGAAGAGTATTAAATATTTCAGGATTTAGGGCATGTGGTTAATAGCCCACCTCCTCAAGGAAAGCCTGGGAAAATTAATAGGCCTTGAGACATCATCCGGAGGGTCAACAAATCTAGACAAGGTAGGAAGTAGGTTCAGGACTCCTGGATGTATCAGGTGGTTTGGTGGTGGCCTCTGGCATGTCTCAGCACAGTGAGCAGAAAGGCCAGCTCCTGTGTATGTGCACTCCATGCTGTGGTTCTCCAGGTACATCAAACCACAACACCTCAGTGTAGAGATGAACAGAAGATGGACGGCAGGGATATTTGCCAATCGGTAACATGGCATATCACATCAGTATAACATTTACCCCAGTGCAGAGTCAGTACAAATCCTACATGCCACTAAAGTTCTACCTAAGTCCTCAAAGGATGGAGCTCTGAGGATATGTCTAGGCTGCAGGCATTGGCTGTACAAACTCACCCAGAACGCTCGGTGATTACTCGTGGTGCTAGCCCAAGCTGACGCATGTGCTGCCACAGCTTCATTGTTCCAAGACCCAGTGATGGGACAAGCCCTTCAACCCACTGGTGGAAAGGCTAACAAGCACTCCTGTACTCAGGCAGCACCAGTTAGGTGCGTCCGCAGAACCTGCACCACTCGGAGAAGTGGAACTTAGAAGGGTGAGACTGACCACAGAAGCAGGGAGGAGTTTTCCCAGGGACGCTAGTGAGCGCTGGTAGCAAGGGGAGCTCAGCCGGAGGCAGTTGCTTAGGTTTTCCTTCACACCTGCCCGCCGCCCGCCCTGCCCTGTTTGGGGCAGATTGACACAACAAGCTCAGTATGAGTGAAGGCCCTTGAGGGCTGCTTCAAGCCAGTGGCCTACAGTGGGCCCTGGGAAACACCACCAGTGGTTAGAGACAAGGAGAGTGTGAACTGGGCTCTGAAAAGACTCTGGGAGTGAGCTGAACTTCTGCCAGGAACAGTAAGATTGCCCAGGCTGGGGGGCTCCTGTAGGAGGTTCAGGGGCAAGAGATTCAAAGATACGATAGCCAAGCCCAAGCTGAGGGGCGGCTGACTACAGACCTGAGCTAGCAAGATTTAAGCTAACTTGGGGGTATGTTGGCTCAGGCTGCAATCACACCCAGTGGCTGCAATCTAGACATACCCTTAGTCTGTGAGTGGACGTTTGACACAACTACACGGTAATGACTCCCTGAGTGTGCAGGGATATGGCAGTACTCTAGGGCTCCTGGAATCAGCATGCCACAGATTCCAGGGCACCAATATTGCACACAGACCAGGAGAGAGCTTGAGATGGTGAACCTCTGTGGGGGGTGGAGATTTTGCAACATTTCTAAGACTATTTGTTAGGCTGTGCCTTCACATTTGCTAATTTTTTCCCCATGAAATTTATACCCATGTTTCACCCCATGCCAGAAAATGATCTTATTTAAAACCAAAACTCATTTTTCTGGGTAAAGAGAAGCCTGTGACGAGTACTATACTGGGGCAAAATAATCACTCCCCACCCCAAACTAGGCCAGGACAAGTGGATGTCTACAGCATATCAAGATAGAGAGGATGGTCTATTGGCTAGGACACTGGGTTGTGACTCAGAGCTGGGTTCGATCTCTGGCTCAGCCACAGCCTGCCTGTGTGACGCTGGCTAAGACACTATCTACCTCATGTCTCTGTTCCCCATGTGGGGATAACAGTACTTTCCTACCTCACAGGAGTGGCCTGAAGATAAAATCCATTAATGACTGTGAAGTGCCCAGATACTAGACTGATGAGGGCCAGAAAAATGGGTGTCCTCTCCCCATCCCTTCTCCTTATTTCCTCACAGTCTCTTTGTATTTGGTTTTCACTCCACCTGGTCTCTGCTCCATTTTTCACCCTTTTTTTTCCAATGGAGATTTCCCTCCCTTTCTGCTCCCTTTTTCCACGATCTCCCCTACTGTAAACACTCCTACATCCCAGATGGTTCAAGAATCAGGCAAAACACATTTTCCCATCCCTAGCACCCAGCCAGCTGGCGACACTTATCTCTGCATCCAAACGCTCGGTCAGGGCAAAGACTCGCATCTCTCTGGCCAGCCCATCATAGTTCCCATTGTTTCGCGGGCGTACTACTCACATCTATCATCATCCTCCAACCCTCCGTTTTCCCAGAGAGCAGGGGCTCGGGGCGAGCCAAGCCAGCATTGTTGATACACACATCAACCCCTTGATGTAGAGTCTTGATTGCAGAGAACATAGATAGGATCTCCTCTTCATTGGACAGATCGCACTTATAGGGGATCAGGACGCCAGGGTATCCCGCACTCTGGCATTCTGCTGCCAATTTCTAGAGAAAGAAAAAAGGAAGGAAGAGAAAAGCAATCAGAATCCCTTCCCCTGGAAAGGCCCAATTGATCAGCTGTGCACTTCATTTCTGCCAGCAAGTACTTTCGTTATTAGTTTGTATTACAGCAGCACCTAACAGCCCCAACCAAGATCAAAGCCCCATTGTGCTAGACCTGTATAAACACATAGTACGAGACAGTTGCTGCCCCAAAGCGCTTGCAGTCTAAATAGGAAAGACAGACAAGGGGAACAGAGGCACAGACAGGGGAAGTGACTCACTCAAAGTCACACAGCCAATCAGCAACAGAGCCAGGAACAGAACCCAAATCCCAGCGTGGTACACTATCCACTGGACCACGCTGCCGCTGCAGATATGGCTGCCAGAATCTCCTGTTCTGATGACTACAATTATGGTCCTTGACCCTTGATTTTAAAACATCTTCGCAGAAAGGGACTAAGACTATGACTACACTACAGCAGCAGCACTGTAGCTATGCCACTGTAGCACTGTAGTGTAGACACTTGCTATAGCAATGGAAGGGGGATTTCAGCCACTGCAGTAAATCCACCCCCTCGAGAGGTGGTAGTTAGGATGATGGACGAATTCTCCCATCAACCTAGCCATGTCTAAATCGGGGCTTAGTTCAGGTTAACTACATTGCTCCAGGATGTGATTTTTTTCACACTCCTGAGCAATGTAGCTATGTCAGCCTAAATTTTAGGCGTAAACCAGGCCTCAGACTTAGCAAGAGGAGGCCTGATCTTATGTGTAGCGTAGGCTGCCTTGCTAATTGCCTGTCACTTGCACGTTACATTTGCTCATCCAGCTCCACAGAGCTTATCCTCTTGGGTTGGATGCTATAAATGTCACAGACATAACTACTCAAAACTGAATTCCCCTTGGTTTACATTTGTAAGGCCAGATCCTTAGCTGGCGTAAATCAGCATCATTCCACTGAAGTGAACGGAGTGGCATTGATTTACACTAGCTAACAATCTGGCCCATGCTGTCTAATGTGTGTGCTGGATTGTAGTATTTTACAGGAAGAAGATAATCTGCTGGGTGCAGAGGTGTTTTAAATATCAGACATTTCCAGGTAGCTTGAATAAATGGAACAAGGGCACAGCATGGACTGTATTCTCAGAACCATTAAAGGATTTATACAAAGTTCAGTCTTGGCCCTATGACTTCACTGCACAAGACGACTATCCTTCACTGAAGTCATTTTTTTTTAATACTTAAAAACGTTTATTATTCAGATTACTTAATTTAGCCACCTTGCATGGTGCAAATAATTGTCAACCTCTACCTTTATAACAAAGAGCGACAAAAAGCAAAATTGGTCCACTGAGCAGTAACTCAAACAAAACATATGCTCTTATCAAATAATCCCCCCCAAAACACCCATAGGAGAGAAAGCCTTAAATAAATAAAATAAATAAATTAATGGAGCTATCCTATCTCCTAGAACTGGAAGGGACCTCAAAAAATCATAGAGTCCAGCCCCCTGCCTTCACTAGCAGGACCAAGTACTGATTTTGCCCCAGATCCCTAAGTGGCCCCCTTAAGGACTGAACTCACAACCGTGGGTTTAGCAGGTCAATGCTCAAACCACTGAGCTATCCCTCCCCCCTATAAAACAGATAGCTTTGCATCATCTCCTGAAGATAGCAAATTTAGGGACTGATCGAGTACTGTAAATTATGGGAGCCTTTCCATTTACTTCAATGGGAATTGGATCAGGCCTGGGGAGGAATGAATTCAAGTCAAGGGTCCTCCAACCACACCAATCTAGCACTATTAGCTTGAGCTTTCCATTGATTTCAATAGGACTTAAGTATGTACTTAAAGTTAAGCACACGTTTAGGTCTTAGCTGCATCAGGGACTTGGTTTAAGCTGTCTGGTTTCCATACAAGTACTTTTCAGCGCCATCCGCACCATAGTGTATGCACCGTGAAACACTGATGTAGATCCACCAAGTCTCTGATGTCTTGGCACACCCCAAACTGTGACCGTAACAGAGCCCATGCCTGGAGGTGACTTGCTGACGATTTAAGTTTCATTCATGTGGTTTAACTAGCCAAAATAAATTACAAGGCACCAGCCTTTGAAGGAATCTTCCTAAAGGGCACCTAGGTTTGGGAGGACTGACCTGTCTGCTGCCCACAAGGAAGTGATCAAGGTCAAGGTCTAAGGGTCGGATCCAGCAGCCACTGAGGTCAATGGAAAGACTCCCATTGATGTGAGCAGGCACTGGATCAGGCATTAGCATTGTTGTACAAGAATCTAGTGATCCAGCCCTGCTCATCCAAGGTGTCTTACTGTGACAGACGTAAAAGGCACAGTATGTAGTAATATATATTAATAATAAATAATAATTAAATTGTTATAGATTAAATAATAATAATATTACTCTTCCCTTACCAAGTGATATATTCAAAGGGGTTAGGTCTACAAAATCGACTAAAATGTATCATTAATGCTTTTAGGTCATTCTGACCTCCCGTATATCAGAGGCCACTAAACACCACTAAACAACCCATACTCAGAGTTAGACCAAAGTACTGTATTACAGCCCTCAGATGACTAAACTATTGTGCGCCCAACCTCCCTCTTCCCACTTGAACTGAGGTGTTTGTTTTATAAACCGGTCTTTGCAGTAACAAGTAATTAAAACAACCACCAAAAGGCAAGCAAAAACCATGCCTGGCTTCTGGTGAGTCCTGAATAAGGCAGGGTCTGAGTGAAATTCACTCTTAAAATACACATGCAGGGCTTTGTTAATGCAAGCAGCAGGAGGGGATGAGTGATTTAAATTGAGCTCTCCGCAACAATCAGTTTGTCAAAGAAACATCAGTGGAACGTCAACATTAAAAGAACTAGCTCGTTTTTAAAAGACAGACACAGGGTGAATAGATTCTGCCCCACTGAAGGCAATGGCAAAGCTCCCATTGATTTCAATGAAACCAGGATTTCCCCCACAGTATGTAAATTTTGGGAACTAGTTACCTTGACATTGTCTTTTAAAATTAATATATAAGACAGTGAAAGCGTATTAGAGTTCACACATTGCCTTCTTGGAATATAAATACTCAGTTGGAATGTTAAATTATAACATACAGCATATAAAGAGTTCCTTTCTTTGGGGAGAAAAATTAAAAACCAAATCAGTAAATGAAATTGGATTCTCTTAAGTGTTCCCCTCCCTTTCCCATAAAATATTAGGGTTACAGCTGGTTCACATTTTTCAAAATTCACATTTTTGATTAAATTTTCAATTGAAATATCTATTTTCGACCGAGGGGGGGGAGGAATCACAAAAAATGTGATTCTCTCTCCCCTGCTCATTTTCTGATCAGCTCCAGTCAGAATTTTAAAATATTAGCAACTGCTTCAGGGGTGTTTTGGAGTTTTTGTTTGTTTGTCTGTTTGTTTGGGGGGGACTCAGTAAACCTCGGTTTTGTTCCCAGTTACTGCATTCATTTGTGTGTCACAGCCATATTTTCAAAAGCTATTGTTTCATGTACTTCCACCTTTAAAGACTGATCATATTCTTCCCCACTGACCTCAGCTGGAGGTTTGTACTCTCAGAGCTCTTAAAATTCAGGCAATTTGGGACTTCATCAAAGTCAACAGAGCTATCCTGATCTACACCAGCTGAGAATCCAGCTCAAAGAATCTCAGAGGTGGTAACTAAATCAGCGGCTACTTTCGAACATTTTGACCTTAATATATCTCATTTTCCCCATCTGTAATACTGACTTGCCTCACAGGCATATTGTGAGGCTTAATTCATTAATGCTTGTGAAGTACTTTGAGATCTTGGGTAGGAAAGAGCTACTGTATTCAGGTTTGGACAATGCACTCATTATCATGGTATCTGAGCTGGAGACATGTAAAATAATATTCATAAAGCTTTCAATATACACACGACACCTCCAAATAGGTGCTTGTGTCGCTATAAACAATATACATAAGAAACAACAATGGTTAAAACCTCTAAAAAGTAAGACTATAAAAGCCAGATGGAAGGGTGGGGGGATTTGACACATGAAACAAGAGTAATTTAAAAGACAAAGCACTTGAGAAGGAAAGACAATCTCACATCCTGCAGGCTACTGCAGTGAAGCAAAAGGTCACCTGCCGACCTACAGGGAGGTGGTGAGACCTCAGATAGGTTGGGGGAGGGAGTTAAGTCACAAGCAGATCAGCACTGTTTGTGCCAAAGCAAGGAACGAGATCGTTAGGGAATCATTCACTTAGCACTGGTGCAAATGACGAGACAAGGTGTAAGACAACCGAGACCCAAACCCTGCCCCAGATAAAAGGGGGGGGGAAATAATCAAACTTTAAACATGCAAAGAACAGTACACAGTGATACAAATGCACAATTCTGTACCATGAGTAAGAGTCTGTAAGATGATGTCCTCTCAAATTAACCTTTCTCTGATGTTTTTTCCATATCCTTGTCCTTTATTTCTTTGAAATGTAGCTGGTCACCTTGGGCCTGATTCTCAGTTATGCTAAGGTCCTTTTATGCCACACTGGCAGCATAAAAGGGTCACAGGACTAAAAGTGGATGCAAGTGTAATTCAGGGGTAAAGTAGTTCTTAGAGCTTCCAAACAAGAGGTAATTGACACCCACTTTAATACCCCTTTTACAGCTAGAGTGGTGCAAAGCAGTGTTAGGGCTGGTCTACACTGGAAATGTCCATCAGCATAGGTACATTTTTCGGGGGTGTGAAAAATCCACAGCCCTGAGAGATGTCGCTGTCTCTAACCCTCGGTGTAGACAGCACCAGGTTGATGGAAGAATTCTTCCATCAACCTAGCTACCGCCTCTCTGGAAATTGGATTAACTACACCTAGGGTACGTCTATACTTACCTCCGGGTCCGGCGGTAAGCAATCGATCTCTGGGATCGATTTATCGCGTCTTGTCTAGACACGATAAATCGATCCCGGAAGTGCTCGCCGTCAACGCCGGTACTCCTGCTCCG